AGCTACTTGGAAGCCTGAGGCGGAAGGATTGCCAGAGCCCAGCAGGTCGAGGCTGCAGTGGCCAGGAGCATGCCACTGCACTCCAGTCTGGGCGACAAAGTGAGACTCCAACTCAAAAAAAAAAAAAACAAAGAACAATGTGCTAGAAACTATACAAGACATTTCACATGTGTTATTGCTAATTTTAATAATGACCATGCATGATAGATATCATTAAAGATGAGTAGAAAGAAGTTTGAAGGAATCAGTGACATTGTATTTGAACCCTGGAGGACCTTATTCTTTTTTTTTATATGCCAGTTGTTACTTTAAGTTGTTTTTCATCAAAACCTCAGCCTACCTAAGTTCTCAAAAACTCTTCCTTTAATAAAAAGTATATTATTCCAGCAGTCAGACTTCATTTGCAGGAATAAAAAGCAGAACCCTAGAGAAAGGCAAATAAACTCTGTAAGCATCTAAAAAGTATACTCTACTAGTCTTTAAAAACAAATTTTTTTCACAACAAGAAAAAGAAGTATTATAGGGAAACATCTATCTTAAAATTACTTTTTTTTTAGACTTTGTGGGGAGGGTAGTGTGGAAATGAGGAGCTTCTTATGATTGAGAGGAGAGACTTATTTTCTATTTGACAGGCAGACTAACTTAAACGTATATGGGAAAGGGGAGGAAGACTACGGCAAACAGGGTGATGCAGGGGATATCACACTGAACTTGGAGTCAACAAACTTGGTGGCATTTCTGTCTCTGTTTTTTGCCAGTAGTACAATATTGGACAGGTTATCCAACAACATCTGAGGTGACTATAAAATAAAGATAATGCAATCTTCCTTTCCTAGTGTATTGGTTTGTGATGAGATTCAAGTGAAATTATCTATATGTGTGTGTATATATATAATATTATATTTTATTATCTCCTATATATATACATATGTGTGTATATATGTATGTACACACACATATACATTTTGAAGACAACAAAATGTTATCCAGATGTAAGGTATTTTTTTTTATTACAAAGAATGAGGTCACTGGAAGCAGACTAGAGAAAATGATGTAATTGAATTCATTGCTCTGTAATCTTGCCAGATACAAAGGTATTTGAAATATAGCAGATAGCAGGGATTTTCATGAACTAGGCAAGCATCATTTACTAAACACATGAGCCATGCTCCAGATAGGTGTGCCTGTATTTAAAATATTTATCTTGCCGGTATTTTATTTAGCAATAGTGTTTCTCAAAGCATCGCAGTGGAATTACCTGAGGCACTTATTAAAAATGCACATTCCAAGGCATTCCCAACCTTCCTGAGGGGTTGGAACCCCTGCTGTGTCTTTTACATACTGCCCAGGGGATTCTTAAGGACACCCACAGTTTAAGATTGAGTACAACATGGAACAATCCCAAAGACAAGTCCACTTTAGTTCATTTAAATAAATTGCTTTGGTTTAAGAGGTATTTCTTCTTTATGAGGACAAGGTTAGATTTTGCACCCCTCAGGAGCCACTGGGTGCCACAGAAGGACAGACACCAAGAGATCATCTGCATTTGGCTCGCAATTTCATCTTAGAGGACCTGAGGTTTACAAGCGCAATCATCTCATCATTGTTTCCATTGCTTCTAGTGACTCCTTTATCATGCTTTCCTTTCCCAATCAAGTTACAAGTACCTAAATACAGAGTATTTCTTGCAAGCTCTGTAAACAACAATTTTGATATAATATTTGTGAGAGAGCACAGGTTAACAGTTTGTTTTGCTACTCTGTAATAATTAGTGTTCACTATTGGTTAATTACTTGGTTTCCTTTTGGCACAAAGGATATTGATTTGGGGTTCGGGAACACATAAAAATGTTGTTAATTATGCTTTCGATTTTTGAAATTCCAGCTGCTGGAACAGTAATTTACTGGGAATAAATTACTCTTACAAGGTGTAGATGAAGCTCATTTTGCAAGTTACCTCAATTCTTCCCTTACATTTTGGAAGCAGCAATTTTAACTATTTCACTTTATTTTAACACAGATATATGATATAAATCTCAAGAGATCTACTAAAGCACTTGCGTCCCTAACAATACTGCCAACTGTGGTCAACCACATTTTTCTCCAAATTGTAAAGAGCAGGTCAGTATTGCTACAACCGAGAAGAGGCAGGCACCAGGGAGAAGAAGCAACCTGTCTCAGTTAAGAGTTGTAACTGATCAAGAATGCATACTATGCAACAAGGCATTTAGATTATATTCATATGTTTCTTATCTGACACTCATATTAACCTAATGAGACCAGAATTATTTCCATTTACACATGAGAAAATGGAGGCACAAAACAGTAAATAAATGTCAGGGTTATGCAGTTAATAAATAACAGCTTTTTTAAAAAATATGTTTTTCATTTTAAGGTCTACAGTGTTTCTCCATTGTTATTGTCCTCAAAATCATGCCTAGACAACCTATGTCCTAAGTCAAGAATTCACTGACTAGACTATAGTCACGATAAATTCAGTGATACAAATGTTCATGTTTAATGTATGGGCATACTTACATCAAGTTTCCTGGCATTTTTTCTCTGAGATAGGTGACTTGAAATTGACAAGGATATGTCAGTAAGAAGCTGCTGAAACAGGTTAGTTTGAGGAGAAAATATACATTTACTTCTGAAGTAGAAAATGGTACTACACAAATTTCTTTGTTCATTCAATCAATGTTTATAAGACATCTACAAAGTGCTAGGCACTGAAAAAGGCACCATGAATATATATGAACACATTCTATGAAATAAAAGTAAGTGCACAGTGACGATGTCCTTGAAGGGAAAATGTTGAAAAACAGAGGCTATAATAAAACTGGGAAAATTTTTTTCAAACTTGGAAATAGTCTAATCTCTGTAATTGGTATCCCTGTTGTCTTCATGTAGACAAATGGATGGACTGTCGTTTTGTTGCTGTTGTTTGTTTGTTTTGAGACAGGGTCTCTCAGGCTTGAATACAGTGGCACAATCATCGTTCACTGCAGCCTCCACCTCCTGGGTTCAAGCCCTCCTCCTCCTTCTCAGTCTCCTGAGTAGCTAAGACTATAGACTCGTATCACCACACCCAGCTTATTTTTAATTTTTTGTAGAGATGAGGTCTCACTATGCTGCCTAACTGGTTTCAAACTCCTGGGCTCAAGTGATTCTCCTAACTCAGCCTCCCAAATTTCTGGGATTACAGGTGTGAGCCATCGGGCCCAGCTGATTGTTATTTTCTGAATGTTCCATTTGTAACACCTCCATCCTAAGAAGAAATAACTGCCTTCCATTATCGTCTCCATTTAGCTCTTGCATCACCTTTTCTTTTTCTTTTTCATCTATCCATTTCACAAATATGTATGAGTGTATAACCTATACTAGCCACACTTTTAGGATCTGGGGATATAACAGTGAACAGAACAATGATAATCCCTCGTTGAGCTTTTTTATTCTAGTGGCAGAAAAATATAATAAGTGAGATAAATAAGTAAATCATATAATCTTCCAGGTAATGAAAGTCTGAAGGAGAAAAAAAGCAGTGAAAGAAGATAGAAAGTGTTAGGGGACTATAAGAAAAGGATTGGCAGTAGCGGGAAACTGCCGGGAGTGGAGCGGGGAAGTGGGATTGGCAGTAGTGGGAATCTGCCTGGGAAAGTGGGGTGGTTGCACACCTCATCAACAAGGGTAGCTGCATAATGAACATTTGTATACCTAACCCTGAATTGTATCCCACATCTTTAAAATAAAAAAGAAAAGAAAAGAATTTTCAACTTAAAAAAAGAAAAAAAGAAAGAAGGAAAGTGTTAGGGGAGTTAAAACTTTAAAACCTTAGGTAGAATAGTAAATGAGGGCCCTCCTGACATTTGAGTAGAAATCTGGGATAAGTGAAGAAGCAAAACATGCAGATACCTGGGAGCAGAATGTTCTGGGCCAAGGAGACCACAAATGTCCTGAGGTGGGAGTAGACCTGGTACCAGGAGGCCAAGGGGCAGGATGAGGGTGAGCCAGGAAAGCATGTGGGAAATGGAGTCAGAAGGGTTAAGGTGGTTACTGGAGGGAAGGAAGCCACAGAACTGAGCAGCCAGCTTCTGGAAGAATCAAATGTGCAAATGTGGACACCAATGTGAGTTCTCATGGGAGGGTTGGCTGAAGAGACCATGAGTCTGTAACTAAAGTGTTTAAGAAGATGGAGATGGGCAATGGCTGGCCTAATTGTCAGAAGATGGCAGCAGCATTGAACATGGAAAGTGGCTTATTCTGTGGGCATCAGATTCAAACATGAGTGAGTTTAGGGGAGAGGACAGAAATGTGCTTTGGAGATGGCCATGAGGAGAGAGGGGGATGGCCAACCCTCTCACAGGCCCAGGGATAGGAGGGGTGCAAGAGAAAAAGCAGTAACCCGTGAGCCCCACAGTGGGCAGAGTACTCAGGGGACAGCCAGGTTTCAGACAAGTAAGCAAATGGAAAGACAGCCCAGAGAAGATGTGGCGGATGGAGCAGATCTTACTGAAGACTGATTTGGAATTGCAGAGGGCTCAAGGACAGGATCTCAGGTTTAGAAAGCGGGGGCGGGGGCAGGAAAAGCGATTCTCTTCTCACTCAGTTTCTGTCATCACTCCCCTGTCTGCAGTTTTATCTTCATCTTTTTCTAACTGATCCTTTCCTTTCCACTGTTCCTTCATCTTTGTACACTTCTTTGGTATACCCTAACTTCTTCTGTCCTGTTTTTCATTACTCGTAGTTTTCCTTTTTCATCTCTCTTCCTGTCCTTTGTGTATCTGAGCCTTCCTTCTCTCTTATCTTTCTAACTTTCCTTTCAATGTGGGCTTTTTCTCCAGCTTCTCTTCTTTTTATTCTGGATGTTTAAGACTTTTCTCTAGGAATAATCCATGTGATTGTTTGCTTTGAAACCCTCCAAAATGACTCCGGGGAGTGCCCTGCTAGCAGAGTCGCCCAGTCACTTTTATTTTTGGTCAATAACAATGTCCCTTTCCTGACCTTTACTTGGACGGGCTCCATCCAGTGCTCCAGAGTGTCAGCAGTGATGTTCTCAGGTAGGATCACGGGATCACTAGGGGGGATTACGCACGATGGGGAACACACTGCACCTGAAGGAACAGACATTTACAGCACAGATTGAACTACCCACATCTCAGCCTTTTTCATCCTGGAAGCAATAAGTTTGAGTTTTCAAGAGGATTTTCTTTCTGTGTTATGGATCATCACATGACGATGTTATAGGTAGGATGTTATTATAGGATGTTATTCACCTACTGTGCACCTGTAGGGATACTTTCACACTGATTGGTAAAGAGCCACTGTCTCAGGCTACTTCTTCTTGCCCCAAGTGCCCCTTCCTCTGTCTGGTCCAGTATAAACTCTCCTCTGGGATTCCTGAATCTCTATATGATCCAGCAACTGAAAGATTAACTCCTGGTCCAGCAGACCTCCAAGACACCCTCCAGGACACTAGCTAGCCAAAGTCTATCCTGATTGATGCCTTTTAAGTATATTGAATATCATTCTTGCTTATATGATCTCTTGGGAGCCTATAATTGCAACAACTACTACCCAAGAACTTGACTACCTAGGGAAAAATGACCCAGAAATTATGAAATGACACCAGAGAATATCCTATCTATTGCTACATGAAATTTCATTACATTGGCATCCAAGAAACCTATTTGATAATAGGAGGAAGCAGTGAAAAACCAGAAGAAAGACTTTGGCCTTGTGTTGATCTTGGAAGAAAAATCTCACCTTGCACTCAGCGTCCAAGTGTCTCCTAAAATCATGGTCAAAGAAAACACACTCTCAAAGTTCTCTATTTCTTTACCTATAGACTTAATTTCCAAGTTGTTGTTGTTGTTGTTTTTAGTTCTTATTATATATATTTCCATGATTTTCATAGATTTTTTTAAATAATCAAAAGAACTATGTCTCTCTTAAGGACTCTGGAAATGTGAGTTTGTGATATTAATGCAGAAATAAGAGACTTGGAGGATGAAATCTATGTGTGAAACACCACTCAGTAGGCATGTCTGAATTCTCTGGTATTCCATGCCTGTCCACAAGACATCACAATGGAGAGAGCACCTTGAAGGTAGTAAAAAATCATTTCAGAAATTAATGAGGTTTCTAATTAACTCAAATCATACTCATTGGCATTGGTACAAATGTCCTATAAAATTACTCCTTGTTGATGTAGATCAGAATTTAGGAGTAATCTCGTGAGTTTTCATACCAACTACAACTCTTTTCTGAGGTTTAGGGCCAGCCATAGCACAGTTGGGTTAGCATCACTGTAAATCAGCTATGGCCACAAAGACTTAAACTGTCATTACTTAAATAAAAATTTGTCCACAGGTTTTGGAGCCTAGTCCCTGGTAGAGAAGTAATGGCTAAAGAATGATATATAAAAGTGCAATCGCAAATCGTCCCTTTCAGTAACTCTCATAACAACCATAGAGAGAGTGGAGGGGCCCCTCTGTGTGACTGCATTTTTCTACCTTTTCTCCTAGCACTACAAATCCTGTAACAAACCCATGCACTCCGAGCCCTGCAAATTTGCCATGAATTTCATTTTTACTGAAGTTTAGAGTCATCATGCATCTCTATCACTCTTCAAGATGGAGCTAGACCTAATAAAAGAATGGCTTGGAAACAGACTTCAACATGCATTTCTGTCCTTACCAATCCCGAAACCCTGTTCACACTTGTACTCCACGTGATTCAGCTCTGAGGGGGGCGGTGGGCATTCCCCTTGCAGGTTCTCACACAACTTAAACTCCTGGCTCCACAGTCCCTCTTTAGTGCAAAGGATGGGGAGCTAGAATATCAAAAATAAAGAACATCTTCATTATCATGTTGTCAATTTCATTGAGAGTGGGGGAAAAAGTCTGATTAAATGATAGTATTCTCTAACCTTTAGATTCTGGACTAAAAGAAACTATTGAAACAATAAACCATTTTGTTATTGGCAAAAAAAAAAAAATCACAAACAATATTTAATCAATAAAATTGATTAGCAATGTATTATTCTTTTATATAAGGATATGGTAAGACATAGTCCTTGCATTCTGAACTATTTTTGGAATTTTTTCCCAGATGATGTTGTTTTGCATTGATCCTTCCCTACTTTTATATGAATGCTACTTGTGGCAAATGTTAGATTTTTTCAAAATGAATTTCATCCAATGAAACGAATTCATAATTTTCTTAGAGGTGTGTTTTAGCCTTTCTGCTTGTATGGACACATCACAGTCCCTTTTGCTCTCACCAAAGTTTTGTTCCCTCTCTCCACGTGCGCACCTCTTGACTTTATGCCTCCAGTAATTGCAAAGTATTTTCTATCTTGAAAACAGAGATTAACACTAACAAAGCCAAGAAAGTAAGATTTTATAAGTATAGATAACCCTCTCTTTATCTTACCAACTCTGTGTTTCCTTAACCAATCAGTGCAAACAGATGTGTTAATTTCTAAGGGTCTCATTTTATGACATATTCTTTTCACATCTATTCTGTAGTGCTTACCTTGGAGTGCTGGACACTAAGATAAAGACTTGGGCCAGGGGAGCATTCAAGGCCAGTGGCCTAGTAAGTCTGTTTGAAATCCTGTACCATGTATGTGTGTGGTGCTTGAAAAGATTCTAAAATGAAATTGATTTTAGTCATACAACCACGATAAGTCTGTGGTTAAGGAAATATTCCAACATGAAATATATTTTAGTCACATAACCATGATAATTCTGTGGTTTTCATTTGAGACCCATTGTGCCAAAATCCTAGGGAGGATGATCATCAAACAGTGCTTTCAGCTTTGCTGAGGAATTTGTGTCTCTGTTCAGGACTCCGTTCTACTGAATATATATATTTGTGTCTCTGTTCAGGACTCTGTTCTACTAAATATATATATGGGACTATTATGTGTCCATCATAGTTGCATTCCTAGTCAACTTATGTCAGTAGCAAGGCATGAGAGGAGATCTCATTGCCAAATCAGAATCCCATCATTTTTTAGAATAGAGCCCTACCTGTTGGGCTTTTCTTGTCTCAGAGGAAGTTCTGAATTCAGGAGAGAACATTCCCCAAATGTAGCACCTTCTGCATTTCTTATCAAGTAATATCAATACCTCTTATTTAACTTAATACGGCCCTGCCTGTTGGGATTTCTTCAGCTCATTTCTTCTCAACATCCTGGGATTGGCCATCAAGATTCAAGCATAGCCTGACCCAAAGCAAGTTCAACAAGTCTTCCTTACCTTTTCACTTTCCTGGCTACAGCTGAGTACACATTGACTGTCCAGGTTGAAGCCATCGGTGCATTCATACATGCCTTCAAACACTGGAGAAGGGTGCTTACACACCACAGGGATGCAGCTGCCTTGCTCCCATAGTCCATTTTCCAGGCATTGTACCTTCAGGAACTTGCTGGTAAAACACAAAACAGAATAGCTCGTTAGACACCCTCAAGGAGGTCATGGGAGAAGACTTGATCCCCAGCAATATGTGATAAGAATTAGCAAACAGGCAGGAGCAGATGGTTCCTGCCAGCCAAATACCCATTACTCTGATCTAATTTCTAAGTCATGGATCTAAAAATAGTAATGATAGTTTACTAACAGTAGTAGCAGTAGGTGCTTGTATAAATATTTTATATGTTACTCCGAATGGGGACTTGATACACATTGTAGCATCTAGATTGTTTATAGTCAGGTTTTCTTTGAGGTTTTCATCTTGGAGAAGTCTCACATCTAAGCACACTGGGAAATGACAGCTTACATAGTAGGAAAGGTTATCACTCATTCAGGAGACAAATCAGAAGTGATTTGAGGATCATCAGTGTTGTTATGGCAATATAATTGATGGAGTTTTTAATATTTATTGCTTCATCAGTGAGGAGAGAGGTGCAGCAATATGAATTTTATTTCAAAATACAGACTCTTAGCCTAACTTTCAGAAGGACAACAGCAACTGGGATTACTGTTTCATTTGTTTACAAGTTAATTATTTCTTGAAAAGGTTCAGACCTTTCACCCGAATCTCAAAGTAGATACAATTCAGTAGTACTCTGGAAGAACTGTCCTTCCTTCTCATGCACAGTCATGCCCCCAACCAGAGAGACTGCATGTGATGTGGCCTGGGATCAAGCAAGTTAGGGTTCTTGTTACTGTAAATTCCATTTCACTCCCCTTTTGATTCACTGCAATTTGCTTCCCATTTTGCTGTTTTGACATATCCACTTTGATTCAGAACACTCTTGGTACAGATAAGCTTGGGAGTCTAAAATATAAATAACCCTTTGGTCCCTAACACTCATCTGCATGGTGGCCTTACATTTCCATTTTTTAGTGTCACAATGCCCCCTTTAAACTTAAATAGTCCCACCATCTCATGCATGCTGTTTTTGAGCTGACTATTGTACAATGTCTCCCGTGTGCTTCCCCACTACTTTAATCTTAGGCTAGTATAACATTTATCATACTGTTGTATAAATTTGTACATGGTTGTTTTCACCAATAGACTGGGAGCTTCCAGGAGGCAGAGGCTGTGTAGTATTCTTGTTTTTAATTTCCAAGAACCAAAATAATATCTGGCTTACAATTAGCAATAAATAAATATTTACTGAATTGAATCATTGAACTGAAATTAACAGCACATCAGTTATGTAACGGCACATTCTATATAGTACTAAATTGAACCATACTCCTAATGAAATAGTGTTTTTATCCCCATTTTATAAGGAAATACACTGAGAGATGTTAAGTTACTTGTCCAAGTCTCACATCATGGAATGCATTTGATTTCAGATAATTTTAATAATCAAGTATTTTAATAGTTTAACATATTTTAATAATAGCTACTTAGAAATAAGTGGTGTTTTATTATTAAGTAATTATTTAGAGCCATAACTTTATTCCTGAAGCTATTTTAGTCTATAAATCTGATATTGATGACTGACATTCTTTAGCATTATCGTCTATGTACCCGTTTCTACAATGTATCCATAATAAATACCATTTTTGAGCTATGTTTCAGGTATTTGGTAAGACATCGACATACATTATTTTGTTGAATTCCCCCAAACAACACTTAAAGGTAAATATTACTGTCTACACTTTAGAGAAGAAAACTGAGCCTGAGGAGAGGTAAAGCTTGCTCAAAAACCCACAGTGAAACCTGCAGGCAGGCGTGGACCTAAGTGTTTTCACTGCCAAAGTCCACAGCTCTCCACTGTGACAGGCTTTGGCTGTTCCTGGTGTGTTCCACAGTTTTATTAAGAGCATCCTCATCCTCAACTGAACACCCACATACCCCTTGTCCCAATACCACAACCGCAAGTGTGGCCAAAATGAAGTTTCATTTTAAATTTTTGTATGGAAAACATTTTTTAATTTAAAATTTAATAAAATTTAATTTTTTAACTTTTAAAATTTTGCATGGAATGCCTTTTTAAAATTTTCGTATGGAAAATAAAAAGTAAATTGCATACAGAAAAAGACACAAATTTTAGCATATGGCTCAATAATTTTTTCCACGTGAATACAGCCAGTTAAACCATCACTCAGATCAAGATAAAGAACACTTCCACCCCCTCAGAATTCCCCTTGTGTTCTTTCTCAGTTAAACCTGCCCACCCATACAACATACAGTATTCTGCAACATACACTCTTCTGACTTTCATCAGCATGGATGAGTTTTGCCTGTTCCTGAATTTTACACGAATGAAATCACACATCATGTACTGCTTAGTACATGGATTCTTTCCCTCAAGAAAGATGACATTTTAAAATGCCTTCCCAAATCTATTTTCAACGAAGCGTTTGCAGTTCTTTTTTACTGTAATGAGGTTCCTTTTGGTGCCTCTCCTAGACTGGATATTTTACTCTGCCTTCACACTGCAGTTTATATCCTCCCAGGGATTCTCTTCTTTCTACCACCTCCCACAGATGAAATCCTTCCCCTACCTCTGCTGAACTGACATCCCCCAGTCGGAGAAGCAGGCAACACCACTGTCACCAGGGGAGAGGCAAGGCTGTAAAAACCTTGCATGTCAGCATGGTTATAAAGGAAAACCCTTGCTTGGCCAGGATGATCATATTTTGACTTCATGTGGTATTTTTCTCTGAATTGGTTGGAATACTTCAGTCATGGAAATAGTCTTCCCGTTCCTTGCCCAGAGTTAAAGAATCATTCAAGAATGCCGATTTCACATATTTCCTTGCCAGTTTAATAACCTCAGGGGTGAGGGCAGACAGGTCAAACTTGGATGGTGAAGAGTGAGTTTGGGTGTTTTGGGTGGTACCCAGACAATGTGACAGGCCTTGTGCTGCAAACCACTAGCAACCACCAGTAACACAGGAGGGAGATGGCTAGAAGTTAGTGAGGGAAATAGCATGGTTCACACTGGTGCCCTAGACCAAAGAGGATGCAGTGTGGACAGGAGCAAGGAGAGGCTGGGAAAGAGCTTGAGTGCCTAGGAGGTCTGGTTTCCTTTCTAAAGGAGCTCCTGCGCCCATCTCAGACTCATGGATTCTCCATCCTCACAGTCTCCTCTCCCTTGTACGGAAGATAGCCTTGGGCTACCATATCTCCATAGGCCTCTCATGGCTTCCGCATCTCCACAACAGATGATGGCCTCTAGTACCCCCCCACACACACACATCTCTGCTGAAGCTTTCTCACAGAGCATTTGATGGGTTCAGTCCCTCATGGCCCAATAGCGAGGGCTGATTACTCTGCCTAATTTCATGCCTGTGGATCTCCGCTTATAGCACAAGTCTTGAGAGCCTATGGTATGGAACTTGGCACTTGAGTGCCATGGACTGGTTCTGGCCATTTTGTTTGAAAAGCAACTGTAACTGTGCAGAATTTCAGAGTGTCCTAGATTCTTCTCAGTTCCAGGAAATTTGGTTTCCCTGTAGGGTCCCTGAAGGGTACTGAAGCCTAAATCTTGCCACCCTTCCTGCTCAAGTGATTTAGTGTTATGGACCGAATGTCTGTGGCCCTCCTAAACTCACGTGATGAAATCCTAAGCCCCCATTGTGATAGCATTATGGGGGAGTCTTTGGGAGGTAATCATGTCATGAGGATAAAGCCTTCTTGATGGAATTATGGCCTTATTTAAAGAGACACAAGAACTTGCCCCTTCTGTTCTCTGCCAGGCAAGGACACACCCAAAAGATAGCCATCTGCAAAGCAGGAAATAGTGCTCACCAGAGAAGAGATCAGCCAGTACTTTGATCTTGGACTTTTCAACCTCCAGAACTGTGAGATATGTTTGTTGTTTAAACCACATGGCCTATGATACTCCATTATAGCAATTCAAACTGACTAAGACACAGCAATGGCAAGACTTTCATCTCTAGTGGCGCTACAGCTGCTTCTGCATTTCTTCTATGGTGATGTTTGGTGATGTTGAGGAATGACCCCTGACTCTTTCAAGATCATTAATGAGAAATCGGGTTTACTCACAGTGGTCCCACTTCCTTCATATAAGATGGATGGATCAAGAGCCAAGAGTCTCCTTGAAGTCACGAAGAGAATAGATCTGCATTTCAAAGGATCATGGCACTGGATACTAGACCAACACACACAGACAGGTCCTTGCCAGGGAAAGAGATTCCAAGACTCCTTTTATAACCCATGCCAAGCACATTTCATGTAAAACAGTCTACTACCTGTCTATCAGTTCCCTATATTTTCTTTGTGACAGTGGAGTAAAGGAAGCTAAAATATCCATTTTATAGGCAGGAAATCACATATTAGTAACCATGAAGTGACTTACCCAAAGTCACACAGCAAGCAAGTCATTGGCAAAAACAAGGATTGATTTGAAGTTTTCAAATCATAATATAACATCCTGATCATTAGACCAGTGATTTCCAAAGGATGGCCTCATCAGAATCATGTAGAAGCCACTGTAGAAACCCAAATGCCCAGTCCTACTGAATCAAATTTCCTGGGACTGGCCTAGGACTCTGAATTTTTTAACTTGCTAGTAGTTTTAATATGCATCCAGATTGATGGACTACTAAAAACCTATGCCACCTTCTCATGCTAGCCAAAAGAAGTCAGAGGTGTACCAACCAGAGTACAAGATCATCCACCTAATCACTGTCCTGTTTGGTCTTTGCTAAGCATCCAGCCTTCCAGCGAGAGCTTTTAGCCAGGCAATTGTACTCTCAAATTTCTTACTTACTCTGTAAATGGTATCATGAGGAGTTGGGGATAGGGGAAGGTTTATATTTATTTTTCCTCTAAATTCTCCAGACAAATCACCACAATTTCCAAGTTAGAAGGTGCTTTTCCAATTTCCAGAACTTGTGGTATCCACCTAGTGCTGAAAAGCCAGCTGTGCTCTTTCTGCTTCTTACATCACTGCCAGAAATAAAGATCTTGTAATCAAAACTTGGCTGAAAGTTTGATTGATGTTGCTTGAGGCACACATGAGTCTACCCCATCTTTCTATCCCCACTGCAGAGTTTTCAAAGTAATATTTATTTTCCACTGGAGAAAATAAAAGTATGATTTGTTGAGTCCAAGAGAATTATCTTGTCTTTGCCAATCAAGAGTATCTGGTGTCTTCAGTGGGTAGTCCCTCACAAATGAGAACAATAACAGAAAAACAATATAATATACAGACTATCTCCAAGACGCTTCCTGTCTGTAACACAGAATCACCATGGTTCTTCAGAGACTCTTCAGATTCTTCTCTGTCATTCAGTCAGCAGTCTAGGTCTATTTGCAGAGGAACATTGGTGCTACAGCAGTGGCATTCAATAAGGAACTTGATCCTGTACAGAAACTCTTCGTGGACAAGATTAGGGAATACAAATCTAAGAGACATGCATCTGGAGGACCTGCTGATACTGGCCCAAAGTATCAGCAAGACCTAGAAAGGGAGCTGTTTAAGCTTAAGCAAATGTATAGTAAAGGAGACATGAATACGTTCCCTAACTTCAAATTTGAAGAGCCCAAATTTAAAGTCATCGAAAAACCCCAGGCCTGAAGAAATTAAAATTAATCTGGTAATTTGTCATGGATTAGCTGTATAACTAGTCAGAAATTTCAGGAAAAAACCATACATTTTACAGTTCCAAATAAATTATTTGGTGATGTTGGAAAAAAAACCAATACAACATTGAGCACTTTAGTGCTAGGTAGTGTATAGAAGATTGTACATCTATGTCACTTTGTCCTCAAGCCCACTCTGTATGATAGGAACCATTATTATCCAAGTTCTTGATTTCCATATCTTCACACAAGCTCCTCCTTGATCATCCCCAATTCAGTAAGTAATACCACCATCTACTCTGTTACTCGAACTTGGAACTTAGGAGACATCACTGATTCCATACTTGCTCTCAATCTTACTTTTTTCTAAACCCCCATCTGACCACATCCAATCTATCAGTGAATTCTATTTCTGTAATTTGTCCCCCTGCCTCTGCATCTCCACAGCCACGAGCGCTAACACAGGCCACCACCTCTCACCGCCTAACTGGACAACCCACTTCTCTAAGTCCCTTCCCACCAAGTCAGCAAACACCAGTCAGAGCAAATGCTCATAAAAATAAGTAAATAAATTTCCCTTCGTAGAACAGTCCAGTTCCTTCTGATTGCATGAAAAACAAAATCTAAACTCCTTACTTTAGCCTACGGGGCCCTGTGTGATCTGGCCCCATGTTTATCAACCTCATTCAATGCCATTTTTACCTTCTTTGATACATTTCACCCATAATGAACTTAGATTCCAAAGCACAACCCAAGATGTTTCCAGCCGCGGGACTTGGTGCCATTCCCTCTGTCCACAATGCTTTTCTTTCTGCCTTTCTTCTGACTGGCTCCTCCTCTATTCCTATTTACAAATAATTTTCACCACTCCAGAACATCCTTATTTTAATCTGCTAATTTGTTTTTAAATATCAAAGCATCGTTGTTTCCTTCGTAGAATACATACTCTATTATTATTTTGTTTCTTGGTTTTACTCATTTTTTTGCCAACCTCCCCGACTGGAATGTGAACTGGATGAGGACTTGGCCTTATTTGTTCTGTCTGGTACATAATAGGTGCCAGTTCAATGACTGTACAAATGCTTATTTTATGGAAAAGGTAAGTAAGGTGTAGAAATGTAAAATGACTTGCTTGGGCATATCTAACTGGTTAACAATGGCAGAGCAGGGATTTGTACTGTGGTGAGTCTGATGCCAATGTCTATGCCATAAACAGAAAGCATCTGTATCTGTATGAATTGAGCTGCAGATAAATTACCTACCTTCACTTAGGGCACTTGTACTGAGGATCCCAAGACCCCACTATGTAGAACCTCTCTAAAAAAGGCGATGCAAGGAAAAGAGGTAATTGTTTCTAGTGTATGGTTTGGGAAACTGAAACATTAATTGGCTGAGTGTTGTGCCTGATACATGGTCAGTTTTTGAACTGAAATTAGCAAGCCTCTCCACTCAGAACATAGCTTAGCCCCTTACTCCTTATAGTGCGGTACTTGGAGCAACAGTACTAGAATAATCAGGGAGCTGGTTAGAAATAGATATCAGGTTCTGCTTCAGACTAGCTCAGTAAAAATCTGCATCTTAAAGACAGTTCCCAAATGATTCCTATGCATACTAAAGTTTAGGAAGTACTGATCTAGACCATTTTAAAAGACATGGTTCTCTACCCAACCCCAAAGAGAGCCATCTACCCTTCCACCACCTCCATGCCAGTTTTCCTCTTCACAAAACTCAGGCCTGGGTTCTCATGGCAATATCCAAAATGGAGGACAGGGAGATTTCACACATGATGGTTCACAGCCAATCACAGTTATTTCATATTCTCTAATACCAGGCCTCCCGGATGTCCTACTTTAGCCCTTTCTACTAGATAAGAAATAATAGCAAGACTGTCCAACCAGACATATTGCCTTTGTATTTTCATTCTTTGCAAATGTCCCTTACAAAGCTCTTCTCCCATGTAAAATAGAGCCTCTCTGACAAAATGAGCAACGTGCTAACTCCTAAAAGTGTGTGGACTATGTCCCCCGGTATCTTACCTCTCACTTCTCCTTTTAGATATTCTGCTCCTAAACCTTAAGTCTCCACATTGGCAGGTGTAATAATGCCTGATCCCCAGGTTTCAACATATAAATTCAGACTTGGGGCCTCTTCTCCATCTTCCACTGCTGCTGTCTTAATTGTTCACACTCCCATTCCCAGTCTTTCTGGCTTTAGATTTAGCTGTCCCCCACTTCATCTTTTTCCATGAGTTTCTTGACCACTCTCATTTATTCTCCTTGCCACATATGTCCAGTTTACTTCTTGAACTAAAAACAAGGGGTTTCTCCAATGCATGGTATTTAAATCCAAACATATACAACAGCTATTTACATTATTCCACAGAATCTCAACAGCAATTCCCATCAGTGCATGTTTAAGAAACTGGAGATTACACTGAAATGTAGGAATGGACTGGACCTGAAACAGGAGTACATTTAATAGGAATCTCTTGCCTTCACCATCTTTCATCACTCAATTATTTGTCCACTTATGGACTCATTCAGCAAATAGTCATGGAACACCCTGGATATGCCGGCTCTTTATATTAGGTCCCACAGTTGTAAAAACAAATATAGATACTATAATAGAGTCCGAATACTAACCTGAGGGAGCCACCAACACTACCTGGATACACAAAGAATATCAACAAACACTTAGGTGGGTTCATTAGGTAGAGATGGGAACAGGTCAGCCAAGCACAGGGAGGGACAGTGCCGGTAAGAACCCCGAAGTGTGGAAGGTAATGCATGTTCAAAACTCTTGACTGAAGGTGTGAATGAAGAAAAACATGCCTACCTGGCCCCTCCTTCCCTCTCTATCTCCTTACCCTGCACCCCATTTCATGGAGAAGAGTCAGAGAAGAGCCTGAGGAAGTTCAGTGGGACAATAACCTTGCAGAAAACGGCAACAAATTGAACTGTATACTTTCCATTTCAGAGGGCAGTTTCTCTCCTTTTTAAGAATTCTTTTTACCATTTTCACAAAATTTTTCGTACATGAATTCCTCCAGGTATTGTTATTTCCATGTTCCTGGTGAGTCCAGCTCACAGAGAGGTGTAATTGAAAGCGCTCACAGGTATATACAATGTGTCCACACCCTCACCTGGGAATTGATCCCATCAACCACTGCATGTCGCTGTTGCTCTTTGAGAAAGCAAAGTTATTTGCATGGTCCCTTGTCCAGAAGCCACAGCAGTGATAAGACCTGAGCCCGCTAATGTGTCATCAGCAGCTCTGAAAAGCAGTGGCATAGCTAAGGACTTGGAATGTACACAGGTGAATCCTACATTTGTTATCCCCCAGACATCACATCCTCTGATGTGGGCTGGAAGGGAAAAGGCTGATTAGCATTTTCCTTGCCAATTTTCCCTGACTGAAAATGGAGTCAGAAGTCACAGTGACCTTACTCAGCAGGCTTTCAGTGGCTGCACCAGGCAATTCCCATCAGGAAGAAAGTGTGGCAGTGGCTGAGAACAGATGCTTTGGAATCAGGAGACGAATGCTTGAACTCCAGCCTTGGTTCTTAATACATTTCTGACTTAAAACAAATTTTTTAACTTCCCTTGTCCTCAGTTTTCCTATCTGAAAAATAGAGATAGTCATATATTTCTCACAGAGTCATTAGAGGATTATGAGATGTGTATTTAAAGCATATAGTACAGGTACAATGAATGATATGGACTCAAAAGACAGCAGGAATTACTAGCTGGTCTTGATGACCAAAGGATCTATTCAGCCACTCTCTCTCTCTCTCTCTCTCTCTCTCTCTGCGTGTGTATGTATGTGTGTGTGTGTCTGCTGTGAGAACGAGATGTTAACATTCTATTCAGTCTTCCCACCCTACTTAAATCTTCATTTTTCTGTCCCACCCAGAATCCCTCCGGAGATGGTTCATGAATCACTTTGGCCTGGCCTGACCCCATCACTAGAGAGCAAAGGCAAAACCACAACCGAAATGTTCACCCATTAGACTGAAGAAAGGGATAGCAGGCGCCTAAGACACAGATGAAGTAGGAAAAAGGAAGATAAGAAAAAACATCAGGAGTGAAGCTGTGGGTTGAGTTAAGTCCTACTGATTTATATATATCAATCAAGCTCTTACTGAGATTTACAATTTTTTCTGATTAATGGAGAAATTAGCAGTCAATATAAAACAGAACATTTTACAATAAGCTGCTCCCTAACTTGGGACCGAACATCACAGGGAAATTTATGAGTTCAACAAATACTGTGTTTGAAGTGAGGGCCTGTGTGCCAGTCACCCGCCCCGTGAAGCCCGCAGCCGTGAGCTGGCCTGCACCCAGGTGTGTATTCGAGTGGCCAAGGCTTGGAGCAGAGATTCAGATGCGTTGAAGCCAAAAGAGGCTGTAATAAATTAGTTTAAAGCTCACATTATCCTCAATGGCAAGAGAATTGAGGAATCCAAGTATAAATTTTGAATGTATTTACTATAAACACTAATTATGAAGCCAGACAGGGTCTTAATGGAAGAAAACAAATTTCTATTTGTCACAGATGCTTGGGGTACATAGAGATTACAGTGTGCTCCTTCCATGGCCAGTCTTAGCACATATGTAGTACCTACTCATATATTTATATGTACTATATTATTACACAGAGCTTAACAATTAGGGAGATTATTTTTCTGATTTTTTAAAAGTATAAATCCAAGATATTTAAGGAGTTTTAGCTTGCCTTAACTACACATTTGTAGTTCACTAGCCAAGTCTTTTTTTCCTATCCTATGGTAGAATAAAATCAGTTGAACCTCAGAGGTTCAAGCTATGGCTCAATAAGATCAAAAGCCTAAAAATCTGGATAATGTCTCAAGGACATCTCCTTGCCCTTCTCCTTCTAGACCAGACTGACCTTATTTGCCTATTCTAATTTTTAAAATATGCCCAGCTCTATCTTGCTGACTATTTCATTTCTATTTCTTTTTCCTCACGTCTCCTATTTTCTTTTCATGGTCTACTTGAAGTCACTGTAGTACTTGGTAGCTCACTGAGTTGTCAGCAGGATGATAGAAAGCATAC